ACTGCCGTACTGCATTTAAGCTGTGTAATGATCGCTAACTTGATGACTACCCTAGACAATGTAGTTGCTGATACAAATTTTCACTCACGACGGCAAATAGTGGGTTTACAGATGGTCGCACAGCTACACGGTGCCTAGAAAAATTGACATAAAATACACCCCTAACCTTAAAGTAGGAGATGAGACGTGCACCACTTTTCATTTCTGGCACCTCTTTCGGAAGGTATCGCCTCATACAGTCGTGCACCATCTTCAACCAATTCATTAGAACATCATTATTTTTACCTTGGACTCCCTTACAGAGGCGGAACAATCTGAATAGATCTGAATATGAAAAGAACAGTGAAAAGGAAAATTTTAGAAATTCTTGATGATGTGAAACCTTTGCACATAATTATAAGAAACTCCTCCCTCCCTTTTAAACCAATTAACATTGAATTAATGTAAGCAATCCATGATCCCGAGAGCCGTTAAACCCACAGCCCAAGAACCGCCAAGGGGCATTATGCACAAACGACCAACAAGGTCATCTAAGAGGACATCACTGATCACATATTTACTTGTAAGGTTATCTTAACTGTCAATAACGCCTGAAAGGTTCTTTTCAGTTTTTGCTTTGGCTTTGTAATTGCATTAGAAATTTAAAAGTCTGTCATCAAAGGTGTTGAAAATACTGACACTTAAGGTCATTCCACTGAAATAGATCCTGCACTGAGATTTTTGTCAAACTTTGCCTATTGGTTGTTTATATCATAGGAACTTAAATTTTGAAATAAAAATGAGGGGTCCCCATGCTCGTTTAGGAGCAACAGCACCTTGTTTGTACCCAATAAATCCTTATAACAGCACCATGATTATAGTCACGATTGCTTGCTAAATTCACGTTTCCGACGATTGTTTCTTGTTCTACACTGAGAATTGGTCCATATTTATTTTACATAGAGAAATTCATTACTCAATTCAAAACAATAGAAAAAATGATAGGTCACCGTACTCGTTTTCGAGGAAATGACAATTTACCTCTATAGCGAGGTCTCGCCGTAAAGAAGCCGCCATTTTTTTTTAATGCGCGCGCGCTAATCACGTGTGAAATTATGCGCACTAAGAGTGCGCAGTGCAATACTGGGAAATGACCTTAATCAACGCGCTAGTTAGCACAAAGTCGGAGATGGCAAGAATATTAACACATCAACTGCCAAAATTTCTGCTATTAGCCGCTTTCCCCGAGACTCAGTCAAGAAGTTGTGAGGTCAGGGCCGTAGCCAGAAACCAATCATGACTGAGGCAGTGTCCAAGAAATGAGTTGTGACTGAGGTAATGTCCATGGTTTAATTCTCTTCCTGGGAATTTAGGGTGTCTTTGACGACTATAAACAACAAAAACGAAAAAAATGACTGAGGCAAGTGCCTCGGTTTGCCTGTTACTAGCTATGGCCCTGGAGGTAATCAAAAAAGTAGAAAGACGACATTGACAACGAATATTAAGAAGTGTAACAACTTCATCTGCACCATCATGATCATGGGACCATTAGATAATTACAAAAGTAATGGTAACAACTGTCTGAATCTAAACAAACCTTCTTTTTTGTTGTGTTTAAGCATATGATTAACACCAGAATTTTCCATTTCAATCACTGTCTTCATGTTATAGAANTGGAAACAACTCTCTGAATCTAAACAAACCTTCTATTTTGTTGTGTTTAAGCATATGATTAACACCAGAATTTTCCATTTCAATCACTGTCTTCATGTTATAGAAAGTCAGCTCCTTTTGAACAATCTGTATGCAAAGAAGAATTGTAAGTTTTGAACTACAAAAAGGATTCAAATATTTCTGTATTTTCATTCAAGCTGCATGTAATCCATATCAAGTACATGTTACCTCTACAATTTTTTTCTCTGTGCTGGGATCCAGAAAATATCGCGCGCGTTCTGCCTCCTCCTGAATCCTGGTTTCGACCTGTTTGAAATATCATTGGAAGTTACATTAGCACCTCTGTCAGTCTAACCAAATCAGAATTCAACAAAAAAAACTCCAATGTGAATACGCTTGAATAATAGAAATTGGCAAACCTTCTGAAGGTACACTGATGCATTGTTTTCTGCAAGTAAAATCTGACTTTCCAACTGTCAAGAAAAGTTAAGCAATAACAAAAAGTTAACTCTAATCTATCACAGAAAAGAGCCCCAATTTGTATGACATAACTAAACCGTGCAAGCGACTTGAACCCCTAACACTTTCATGAGGAGGAGCAATTTTCATGGAATACAATTGTCTCTTAACACTCTAATAACGACGAATTCCCAAGCCACCCAGCTTAACTCTTTAAAAGTCCCCGGCCTTAGAGAAGAGACTGTACTGCATTGCACAGTATTTTAAGGCACATTTGATTTAATTTTATGATTGACTTGCTAACATTTTACCGGATTGTCTCTGTATTTGCAATTCTTCATTCATTTCTCTAGACACAGCCTCCCTTTCAAGTAAAAACACTATCCCTAACATCTCAGAAACATCAACATAGAAAATTCCCTAAAATTTATAACGCCCTCCGCAATTGGTAACTCCGACAAAAAAAATACAACCACCAGTCTCATCACCGCTTTACGCTGATGGAATGGAAGTAATCCAATACAATAATTGCTGCATTTACTGATCAATCTTGAGTAAGTAATACATAGGTATTGCACAAGGTTCTTACTTTGAAGAATGCTGCAGACTCGTCAAGGAAGGGTTTTTCAAAATAGCCTTCATAAACACTTCTGGAATCAGGTCCCAGTGCCAGTAACGTTTCAGATGCATTTTTAATGGCCATCCTTCAAGAAAACTTCAAGATGATTAATCTTATGCCCTGGACACTAAATCAAATCCTCTTAGCATCCTCATAGTATTCTTGTCCGATTTAAGAAAAAAAATTGTTTCCCCACTTATGGTGACCTTTACGCATTCTGCTAACTGCCAGGGTAATTATGAAAATGTTATAGGATGAAGCGAATACCTGAAAATGAGCTTGTTTAATTAATGTGTGCTTTTTTTTAATTTCTCTTTCTCACGACGACCTTCAGGGAACAGAGGTCTATTAACTGACTATAGTTACTGACAAGGATAAAACGTGTGGCCCTATTGATCGAAATGCTGTACTGTTTTTGATTAAATCTGTGTTCGACAGCATAACTACATCATACAGTGTACCTGTCGACAAATTCTCCTTGACGCTCTCCTCTCACCAGTGAGAGCAGTGTTTGAGATACACGAACCCTAATACTATCATACTTCAAACAATCTGAGGAAAAAAGTAAAATGGCAAAAAATAGTTATGCACATTAGCATACATTCTGCATATCTAATGGTCTTAACATGACCCTGTATCATATAATTTCTCATTGAGAGGCACGAAGATGACGTCCACAGTCTAAAACCTTTTACATCTGTTTACTGGGTGTTACGCATATCGAGCTACTGATATAAAATTAAAGCGACAAGTGATATCTTAATGGGAACTGTTTAAATACAGAATCATCAGAGTCATAAAACATTACCTTCATATGAAACTAAATTATACTGTTTCAATAGTCAATGTTTGAGGCGGAATTCAGTTAACGGAAGTCTGTCGCTTTCGCTCTTTTCAAAATACTGGAAATCTTGTTTCTAGTCCGTCATACTTTTACTTAATAGTATGTCCTGTCTGAAAGATTCACTAGTCTACCCTTGACCATTTTCGCTTTTTGTTGTTACAAAAAGCTATGCGTGTCCTCTTATTGACTGTGAATCGTATTATAACATTGACAAAGTAGTCTGTGGATCATGAGGCAGACCTGTGCAGCCATAACAATGATTACATATGCAATTAATCAATACGACAACGAATGCATGGAATGTTGACAACCATTTGTTTATAAACTTCCAAAACCAAATGCCAACGTGCAAGAATCTCTGGAGGTACTAGGATGAAAAAGCCGGTAAAAGACACTAAGTACACAAGGCTACTAAGAAGAAAAAGATTACAACATAGCTAGCAAAACCGCGCTACCAAATTCGCTAGATGTGAGCTTATTCGCCAGAATTTCAACTTTCTAGTTAGTTCACCCTGAGCATGTCACGCAATAAAAACCTAATTGTCGGGTTAGAGCTTATAGAGAGGAGGGAAGCGCGAAAAGTAACGTGAGTTCAGTAGATTTGACAGCTATGCTTTGCTTTAGTAATAGACTGTTTGCCTGGGTTTGATGGCACATATCAGCTGACAAGATCATAAGTCAATTGTATCACGAGGAAGATGAAATGTTCAGCATGTCATAAGTGTGGTGCAAAGCAAAACACATGGGTCTTTGCTGTCGATATTTATCAGCATAGTTAATCATAAAAATTACAATTTCCTCGATTGTGATTGGTTTAAAAAACTCCTATTTTTCATTAACTCACTTGCCAAGTTGTTATCGGACAGTTTGTTATCGGACAGTTCAATAAGCCAATCACATTCAAAGTTGTAGTTTAAATCAACCAATCACATTTAAAGTTGTGGTTTAAATCAACCAACCACATTCAAAGCTGCAGTTTAAATCAACCAATCACAACCTTGGGGTCAATCATCAACAATTTACGCCTCCTTTGTCAGTCTTTCAGTGCAAATTTTTCAGTTCTTTCTTTCACTTGGCTATTCTTCTTTTCTCGGAAATTATAATTTCTATGATTAATTGGTAATAAGAGTGAATTTTTCTAATTAGCAAACATAGGACGGCAGAAGTTGAAAAATCGATTTTTCTCTCTTTTCGTCCAAAAATAACCCTTAGGTAGATATGAAACGTGATATAGTTTTTTTTAACTCGACGTGCTTTAAATTCGAGAAAATCGAGGTAAAAGATTTTCGCCTAGACGGTCGCCAAAATGGCCATCACAAAGGCTCAAAATTAGTAATCTAAACTTCATCTGCATTCGCGTGTAAAGGAGAACCAAAAGTTATCGATACTTTTTCTTGAAAGACAAAGTATTCAGTTATCCAAAACAGGTTAGAACTTGACTTGAGCGCCATTAAGAATAAAGACACAATTTTAAAAAAAAAACCCTCTCAGTTTCTAGGTAAATTTCCTAATTTAGGAATAAAATTCAGAGGTATTTTTAGACATGTGCCATAACTCCAAATTCCTTGAAACTTCGCCTTTGTAACACTATCATATTGTTGTGAAACATATATTTAAATCAGCTTGGGTTATTCTTCGAGCGGCTTTTGAGGCCCGGCTGAAAAACCCGGATTTTACCTAAAACATAACGAAAAGTAAATGGACGTCTGCGTGTTGGTCTGAGGGCAAACCGGTATAGGCGTTTAAAGTCCTTGTATTATTAGTTCCTTGTACTAAACACTTTTATGTTGTTGTAAAACATATATCAAAATCAGCTTGACTCAATCTTCGAGTGGTTTTTAACGCTCCGCTGAAATAACCGGATTTTAACGAAAACATCAGCAGGAAGTAAACAATAGACTGCATGCTTGCGTGTTTTTCTGAGGCCAAGAAACAGAACACAGTCTGCTGAAGTAAAGCCGTTTAACTTCTTTCATTATCATATTTTCGTTCTGCAGGTCAATATGCCTATTTTAAAGCAAAATGAAATGACAACACGAGTTTATTCATGTATTCACAGGTAACTTCACTTACAAGGAATATTTCAATCTTTTTACGTAAAATTAGATTACTAACAAACGGATAATGTGTAGATTTCACAATCACGGCACCGTAATTCTAAACAATTCAACCTGTTTAGAGCGGTTTTAAGTTGAGTGTGGAAAGAAATCAGGCAATTACTTTGGTTTTGGCTTTGGTTTTGGTTTTGGTTTTACTACGGTTTGAGATTGGCTGAGTAGTCTAATTGGTAAGTAATTGGTTTGGTTATGGTTTTACGACACTCATTTGAAAATCGCTCTAACTGTGTACATGCATAAATAAAGTTACAGAGTTGTATTTACTTGATTTGAATATAGAAAACGGGACTGCAAAGTGAATGCGAACAGATGCTTATTTTCCAACCTTCCAATATAGAACCTTGCCCATTTAAAGCTGGAAAGGTACAATGGAAGGTATACTAACCTGCGCCGACAAAAACAACATTGATCGCAAGAAAGATTTCCCCTGGCAATCC